GACAAAACGGAGACTAAGTGCGTTAAATGCATTAGAAAATATACACTTATTTTTCTGGGTCAAATATATTTATTTATTTTTTCATTTGTACAATACTATTCGGAATAAATCGAATAGTTGTGTTTTTTTTTTTTTTTTTTTGATCCCGAGCGGAACCAGTTGGTTTAACATTATTTGTGATTATCTTCTTTTATATTTTTGTTATGCCAGTGAATGGTTTTTATGGTTAGTAAAATTTCTCCAAAACGATCAATTATCATTCCTTCAAAAAATTAAAAATTAAATTATTTTTTGTTTTACACGAAAAAGCCAATTAACGATAAATATTAATAAACGTCTAACGTAATCCAATGTATTTGAATCACCGTGCCATATTATATACGGACGTCCATGTGGCATGGTGCATGAAAGTTCAAAAGAATTGAAAACGATCGAAAATTCGAAGTCAAAAAATATAAATTTGTTTCCGAAAATCTACTATTAAAGCGTATAATTATTGTAATAGATTTTTTTAATTTTTATATTGGCACCAATAAAAAGTATTATGTATACGAACAGGCCTCGATATCTGTAAATATCGACAATTACGGGCAGCCGTGTACCAAAAGAGTAAATTAACTCATGAAATATCGGTTTATGCTGTATTATGTTAATGATATAATAATATGACAAATATTTCAAATTAAACACAATTTATTGCTTTTTGGTACATAAAATACCTTATTGGAAATACAACACGTTTTATGATATAATCAAAAATCATCAATTTCCGAATCTATAATATTCGAAAGAATTGAATACGCCACCGAAGGGGCGGCCGAATAGCAGATGGCTGGATCAAGTAAAGGCAGATGGGCTTATAGAATTGGAGGAACACAGCCGAAAACGAGAACATTTTTTTTTTGGAGCCCAAGAGTCATCGCGGCTTGTAACGCTCATGAACATTTGATCATTACGTGATTTACAAAATAAACACTGTACTTATGTACCATAAGTTAATTATTATCGATTCGCCAACTCCTTTCCTCAGTTAGGAGGTATTTTATAGGTACCAAGTCAAAATGTCCAGTCCCTAAGAATATTGTGAACTGAATCACAAAAAATGTTGATACCGGGAACGGGTGTGTCACTGATGTAAGTGGGACGAAAAGAAGGTAAGATATACGAAGTTATTTAATTTGTAAATAAAAATAAATTGTTGCCAATGGAAAACTATTCGGAGGAAAACCATAGTAAAACCAATAGATCACTCGCTACGCTACGAATTTAAAATTTTCATATGTATACAGTCTATAGAATTTTAACATCATAATAAGCAACGTATTAATATTAATCACTCGGTTAGTATAATTATGACAATAATAATAGCTGCATTGTCTAAACATAACTTTAAAGGAACGTAATTATGTTTGAAGAAATTAGGTCATAATAATAAAAAAAATATCATAATATCAGAGCAGTTTGTTAAAAATTATAATTATTTGTACCATAGGCCATTGTTTGTGCGGTAATGCGGTAATATTATAGAATTTTGTGCATCAGGTGTGTTTTAAAAATCTATTGTGTTAGGTTCATAGTAGGTGGATAATTTATAACTAAAAAAAGTATTATTTCTATAATATATTATTATAAACGCAGGAATAATTAGCAAAACGATACAAAGAAAAGAAAAAAAAAAGAGCTGATACTGGTGACGGGTGCAGCCACTGTTGTAGAAGAAAAGCCGGGGAGGTAGATATTTAAAGATATTTAACTTATTTTCGCATTAAAATATTAACCGTTGCTAACAAAAAAACGATTTGGAGTGAAGTTCGATGAGAGATATTTTGAAATGCCGTAATTTTTACGAAAATCGTAAATATTTGATCTTAAAATACATATGAAAACAACTAGTGCATTAAAATCAAATATATTTTTTCAGTCCATTTTAGTACAACTTATAATAAACCCACTCTTTAATTTTCAAGAATTTCTATTTAAACCGTATAATGTTAATGCCAAATACTTGCCAAAAAGAATTATCAAAAATATCGAATACCTATAACAAATAACCTAAAAGTAGTTAGAATGTTTTAAACATTTTACCACGTCTGCAAAATGCCAATATAAGTTTTTTTTTTTTTTAATAATACAGGTCTCTACAGTATTTTTTAACCAAATAACAATAAAAAACCTAAATGTCGTACTCTTTGCCGTATATACTACGTACATACGTTTTTTTTCTTAATTATTTAAGAAATTTATACGAAAAATAAAACAACGAATTTTTAACTCGCAAACAAAATAAAATATTTTTTCAGAAAATATGCATATCTTAGAATAAGAAAAAAGATTTCTTGTAGAAAAATATATTTTAAATATCACAAAAATCACTTACTCTATTAGTGGCTATATATCAAAATAAAAACAAATGATCTCTTATCTATTTTTCAATTTGAACCACTTTCCTAGTAGAAAACATAAGTTGCAAAAATTAGAAACATGTATGCAATGAAACCGGTAGCATCGTGGCGCACGGCGCGCGGTGAATAATCGCGCTTAGGCTATAATTTTCTTTTGAGTTTTACCCAATTATGTTGAGAACCCTTAAGAAAATCAAATTGCCTCCCCAATGCACCAACTAGAGAAAATTATCTTTCAGAATAGGTGTATCACAGAGATAAATCGGAGCAAGATCTGTGGTATAATAGTTATTCACAAACATAAAAAAAAAAAAAACTAATCATTCATCAAAACCAATTGATCTCTCCCTACTCTCTAAATTTAATAAACTTAAACTTTAAGTTTGTATACGTGTGCACAGGGTAAATTTGTTAATCCCCGATCCAGTGAATCTACGCATATTACCCAGTGGTAACACTCAATTTAACACATTTAAAACTATTATTGTGATCATATTTAAAAGTATTATTTGTACATTTAACGTTTTTTATTCAACTTTGTTTTTTATCATATTTTTAAATACAAATGCACTTAAGGTTTTCTTTTTATATTTTATACGAGTACGTACATAATAATTTCCGACATTCTAATCATTAGACAAGTCTCATTTGAACACAAAACCACCGTATTCATAAATGTAAAACCAATTTCTTAAACGTTATATATATTTTTTTAAAGCCAGTAATTCTGAGTAGATCTAGGTAAACTTTTATTGTTATTCATGTTTTTTTGCATGCGAGGTAATCTATCAGATATCAGCAAATACATTGAAACAGACGTATCGTTGTCATTGTTCTAATTTGAACTTTTTTAAAAAAAAATGCTATAGAATTTGGAAAAAATTATTCCAACAAATTACTATTGAACGAAAAATGCATACCTTTAAACAATCGTGTGGGAGTCCAATATTGACCCCAATCAAAAATAAAAACTTATTATAAACTTATACATTACAAAAATGTAATAATATAGTATGGTATAGTTTTTTGTTTTTTTTTGTTTTGTTTTTCTATTATTAAATTTTTATCCATATTTATATAACCTATGGTAACTCAAAAGTCTTTGAATTTAAATAAAATTAATTTTTTATACATATTTTATGCTTTTTTTAGAAATGGGGTCTGATACACTCCCACCGCTACTATGAAAGGTAAAAAAAGGCACACGCCTGCTTAAGGGTTGAATTGGGATGTGAATAATTTAGATAGTTTTAAATAACCGAAAAACCATTTTCCGAGAAAAAAAAAACATGTATTAATAAAACTAAAACAAATAAATATGAATTCTGGTTGTTTGATTCAATTATAAAAACAATATTTAACCGAATTTACTTACGGGTTCTTCTTCTATTCTATTTCGTGACAATATTTGTTAACGAAATCATAAGTCCCTCAATAATAAACGAAATTGTTTATTGTAAATTGGTTATGGCAGTCGTAAAAAATAATTATCCTAAACCGTTCAGATGGAATGCTTTGAGCATATTATCAAATTATGGATTATTTTATATTAAATTGCGGTTTCACGGGAATTGTCGTTTATTTGGGAGAATTAGTTGTGCTAACTGCTTTGGCGTGAATTCAACCCTTTTAACCAAACAGTTGATTGCTTCCAACACCGCCGTATATAGAAATATAATAAAAACAAAAATGATATTTTTCCGATACTTCTGCGGTTAACGAAAGTCAATGTCCGCTTAGTTGACAGCATACGAAAACTGGCAGAATTGAATGAATTGATAGATTTTCACGTTTTATACCACGGTTAAACGTTATAGTAAATAAGTATTTTTTTCCCTTTAAAAATCACGGTTTTCATGGACACAAATACACCAAACTTATACGAATCTACGAACTATGAGTATTAGCACTACGTGCAGAAAATATCATTCTTATCTCTTACGAAATCTTCCCGGTGACCTCATTCCTGCTGCAGGGTTTTTTTTCAATAGTTTATACCTATAATTATATTTCCTCTGAAATTAAGTTCTTTAAAAATTAAAAGCGCATCCAAAAATGTGTATACCAAAGTTTGATAATGGGTGTATTAGTTTTAATTGTAGAAATAAAAATAATTTAAAATTTCAGTACAAATGTATTTTATTTTTTTTATCTCGATTATTAAATTGATAATATATTGTTTATTATCAGTTATATACAAATTACATGAACCTTAACAACGGTCCGGTTAATTTCGTATTAAAATGTATTAAACATTTCTCGTCGTTTCACCTTGCATGATTAAATATTGTTTATATGTAAAAATAAATATGCCCTCAGGATCTAAATAAAGATAACAGGCAGTAGTATTGCCATGATTAAATTAAAATCCATGTCAATGTAAGGTACATTAAAAAGTCACTACTCAAGAGTGGTGAATACGCATGAAGATTATTATACAGTTTAATTACGTGTTATCGTATGCTTAAAAATGAAATAAAAATTAGTTTATTAAATTGTCTCTTCCAAAAGGCAGTACCTACTATTGCCGTCTCATTTTAAAACGCAGTTAAACGCAGGTAAACGGATGAAGATTAATATGAAAATTACTATAATATGTTAACTTACTACGCATTCTCCCAAGTTGGACACGAGACAGGATATCTGGCTAGAAGCTCCAGTTTGAGCGACCACGGTCGACGAGTTCTCGGTGAGAAACTTGGGTTTGAGCAGTGTCCGCTGCAAGTGCGCGTCGTCCAGGACGCTGCTCTGCGTCACATTTGACACTTCCACGGCAGTCGCTGTCCCGGTCATGACGATGGAGGTAGTAGTCATGTTTTTCGTCAAGTTCCGCTGGGGAGACGGTTGTGGTCGCGGATATTGATGAGCCGTTACCGGTGTCTGTGAGGTGGAAGGGCTCGGTATAGCCGCCGACAACTGTTTTCCGGTAGATTTTCCACCGGCTTCCGGCACCGAGTTCTTTTTTCCATCACCTGCCAACACACCGTCTTAATAAATACAACAATATCTTCATAAGAGTTTGATAAAAAAAACCAAACAAAAATAAATTTAACGAACGTAGTCGTGGTACTCGGTTCATCTTTCTTCCCGAAGAAAATCCCTCCGGTTTTAGATAAAATTTTAATTTTATAATTTTTTTTTTTTATACCCGTCATTTGCATATTCTAGAAAAGTGAAAGTTTGGATGTTTGAAATGAAAAATGAGTGAAACCAAGATGATATGTTTAGAGTTGAGATTTGGATGTGAGATAGTAATACCAGGTCCAGATTAAGGGTTGAGAGGATCTGGTGGCCCATATAAGTAAATGGACTTATTTAAGCTAATAGATTTGTTAGATTTCAAATTTAACTTGTAAACAAAAAAAAAACTTGAATAAATTCAACAAATATGATTTTTGAGGGCTTCTTTGTTTGAAAGTTACATTATAAACCGAGTAAAGAAAACTTAATATTTAGGTTTGGTGGCTTAAAAGAACGACGGAGGAAGTAGGTAACTAAAATACAATTTGAGTAAATATTGGAAGAAAGCGTTGACATAGTGTTGTGTGATAAAAAATATATTTGTTAGTTTGACGCAGATGCGGATGTGCACTCTAATAAAATAAACACTATAATAGATATTTTAGTTGTTAAATGTTAACTATGAGACTAGTAGAGTATAAGAGACCATAACTGATAAGATAATCAAAAATATAGGTGAGTTTGAAGTATAATAGCCAGGGAAGGGGTACACCGAAGAAAATGTGGTTGAAGATATTGAGTTTGATACGAGAGTATGTGGAGTAATTTAGAATACGGAAATAGTACTTGAACCGTATTTATAGAAATTTAATTTATGACCGTTGAACATAACGTTTTAAATACCTATAGGCTATCTGTTAGTTATTTGGCGTGCACTTCTTAGGGAAAACTCCTAATTGTTCCACTGGCACGAATATGGGTCTTAGTCTCAAAGGAATTAGGAGTTCACAAATATGTTACGCGACTATTCGATGATTAATAGTGCATCTGCATTTTACCCCTCAAAATTCAACCTAGCCTGTTGGTCACATAAAACGGCTTAGTGTAATAAATATAAAGAACACAGTTCCGTAGTTTAACGTTGTGGACGCGCCGATATTGGGTACCTATATTTAACGTAGTGTTCGTATCGCATGTCCCGTTAATCATTGTTGTAATTCCCGATATTTTCGAGACACCGATTCTGTCAATTACGGAACATTAATCTTTTAGAATGACATCGAATCCGCGTTACCGCCTGTGAGATAACGCCTGGAGGGGGAAACAAATAGGCGAAAATATCACCTTGGTATTTTAAGACCGGGTGGTCGGGATCTATTACATAATATGCAGATATTGTAGACACACGACAAGTCTTGGTGACCTTTTACCAAGTCTCCTAAAATGATCACGATTGTACATTTTGCTTTTTCGCCGAATAATATTGCAATTTTTATTGCGTATTATGTTTAGGGTTTAAACATTTTTAATTTATGTGAAAAATAAAAGTAAATTTAAAATTTAAACAAAACAATATACAGACGTACTACGCAAGATTACACAAATACTGTCGTTGGTGAGAACTCGGGAAGAGGATAAATGTAATGTATTTCTGTTAGCGAAAATTAACCATTGCTAATAAAAAACGATTGTGAGTAGAGTTCGTTTAATAGCATTGCTTTTTCAACAACATATATATATATCTCATATAATGGTAAAAAAATGATGAATATCATTATATTATATTACATTATCTTTAGTAATATTTGTTTTATATTGTAACTATTTTCCCATTTTCCCTCAGTTTTCCAATGTTTCCTCCTGGGTTTTCCCATTTATTATGAAAGCAGCTGGGAAAATCAAAAACCACTTTAAGTTCGGACAACAGATAAAAAATAATAAGAACAAACATCGTTGTAATACCAATACATTTCTCGCTCCGCTCAGAATCTAAAATATACTATTGCATTCATAATAATTGAAGTTGGGTATTTGAAATTATTCACGTGAAAAATGATGGGTACCTATTATACATACAGGTAAAATTCAATGTACAATATACATGACCCGCAAGGCATTTATAAAAATTACACACCATAGTGTTATAGATACCCAATATCGAAAAGTGATAAACCGGTAAAGTAATAACCATACAGTAAGATAATATCTAAACGTATAAAAATATATATATTTTTTTTTTTTATATTTTATACTTTATCGAAATATTTCGAAAATAATGGCAATTTCAATTTCGAAATATTTAAAATTCAGAACCTTAATGTTATGATAATATTACTTTTGCTCCGACATTAACATAAAATACATAATAATTCTACAACAGAAACCATTTTAATAATATTATATGGCAATATTATTTCGATGGTTATAACGGTTCGGAAGGAACGATGATATTTTCGTGACAATTCGATTCATATTAGCCATTTTCGTTTTAGCTATACTATTACTATTATATCGTACGTAGAAAATATTATAACGAACGAAAAATGACAAAGGAAATGCCCAGACGATTAATAAGAAACTAATTTATTGCTCTTTTGGCGGAACAAAGTACGTCGATGCGCGGAGAAAACTGTTCTCGGTTTTCTTTGTTGTTATATTAAATGAATTGTTTAATGCCATTCCGTTTATATATAATAATAAAATATAATATTTAATTGAGGAAAACGGTCCCATTAGGAACGTCGATCAATTATATTTTATTGACGGTAAGAATGATATGAACGCGATAAAAACGAAATATAATATTAAACTATGAAATATTATAATAATATAATAGCGTTAAGTTCCCCGGAAAATTCGCATGTTTTATAAGAAATGAAAATTGCCGAGCATACCTAACCGTTGTTTTTTTTATTATTTAATTTTTTTTTCAGGCAAATAAAAGAAAACACATCTTGGTAAAAACCATAGCTCATAGTTTTCTATTTTTCTTAAGACTATCCGGCGATAATGTTATACTTAGGTACTTAATAGTTTGCCGGCTATATATTATACGATGGTAGGTATTTTATTCATACGACACGATACAAAACGAGGGAGTACAACATCACCGTTGCGTTTTGCAAAACTACTGTTTTATTATATGTACCATCTAGTTTACTGTTGCTTTATCACATCTACCAATAGAGCCTTGGAAATGGCGAGCGAAATATTTTGAAAATTTCAAGGAAAGGATGGCAGATAATAATATAATAATATGATGACGAAACTAAATGCTTTGTTATCATTATGTTTGTTAATTATTTGTACGTTTTAGACAATGAACGATAGGAATCATTTCGATAAATATTCTTCCACAACCGGCCAATACCTAAGTATTTATTACAATACGTTGAACGAAATTAATTTTAACATTTCGAAGGATGCCATCTATACACAATGATAAATTATTCGTCAGTATATTTTATTATTGTAATAGGAAAATATCGAAGACGAGGTAGCACTTTATTCGGTGAACCACCGCTGGCTACTAATATACAACTTACTATACACAACAGGTCGGAGATCTCGGTGTACCGAAGTACAAAACAAAATAAAGCACACCAAAGTATAACCTAATGTATAGTTTACTTAATGAAATGCCAATCAAAACGTACGAGAGTGGTGAGGTTATATGCTATACATGACAGGCACAAAAAGAGGTGTCCAGTCGCAGTAGATAATTATATTTTTCGATGAGATTCTACCAATGGGATTGGGGATAAACCTCTTATGTAGGAATAATATACCTATTCTAAATTTTAAATACATACACAGATAATTTAAAAACAAATAATAAATGATAACCGTAATCAAACTCAAAATAATCTGATAATGTGGACGGGTGTGCCATTGAAGGAGAAATGTTGATTATGATGATGATTATGATATAAGTTATTTATTTAATTTAAAATATACAATGTCTAATCGATTATTTTGCCATAATATGATATATATGTATATTGTTGACAAAGCATCACAATTAACTGGACTCCGCTCAGAATCGTTTTTTCGTTAGCAATGGTTTATTGTTGCTGACAGATATACATTAATTTCCCTTCTGTATCCTAAATTTCCAACTTCATACTTACAACAGTGGCTGCATCCGTCCCGGTTATTCTAGGACAAGTTTTTTATAGTTACACCGACAATTGACCTTCTGGTTACTTCACTTTATCGCAACCAAAAAGCATAATAAAATACTTGTTTTTCACTTTATATTATTATTATTCTGTAGTGTGGAGCAGACTTCACGTTGATTATTATTATTCTTATTCTTATTCCGGTACCCGCGGTCGGACGATTTACGTGCATATCTATACACCGCGGTAACGTTGGCGGTGGTACCACCGATGGTGCCACAACAAATGCAAAGTCCCGGGAAACGAGATACTTGCGAGCACCTGCATCGGTATTATTATTTTTGGACGATTCGAAATAATTTATGCAAATAATATACATACACGCATCAGGTACCTATTTCACGCAATTAAGATTTCGTTAACGACGACGGGCCAAGATAGTTTGTGGCGAACCTAAAATCTTTAGGTACCGTGCAAGTCCGCCGCCGCCACCGTTGCCGCACTCGTGGTATCATACTATTGTGAGGATATATATATACACACAAAATAGTAGTAATTGATTGTTATAATAATAATAATAGCAAACAATAGTTGCATAGATTTAATTTACGGTGCCGCAAAACGATAAATTTCCTAGAATAATATAGTGGATTCCGGAATTTATAGTACTTACTGAAAATGCATCATTGCACTTGAAAACCATGTTTTAAGCCTCACATTAAATCCGTTTAGAGGAGAAAACAAGTATTCCCAAGAATGTTTAACCAACCTTCCACCCACTTCAAAAAAAAAAAAAAAAAACGACAAGTATAGATAACAAACAAATAAAGATAATATAAATAACGAGGAGTATTCGTCAACCGAATTATTTCATGAAAGGTATTTTTCGAAAAAAACGATGATTTCCGTTGGGTCATGGATTGTTTTGATATCCAGTCATATTTTAAAAACACAAAACAACACATTTCCGAACGTCTAAAAAATGATTGAATACATA